AGCGCCGCCGAGGCCTCGCCGCAGCTCGGGCCGGAGCTCTCTCCCGGCCTGCAGCGCCTGCCCCGCTCCGAGGCTGAGCCCTGCTCCGTGCCCTGGGCTTGCTCCGCTCCGAATGCGTTTGAAAGGCTTTTCTGAAAGACTCGCGTCGATGTGAAGTAGCGCTGTGTTTAAAAACGCTGATAAAAATCCACGCGGGAAAAGGAGCGGTAATGCGCGTCCCACTTGAACAGCAGGGCAAATGAGGGGTAGTTTTCCCCTATGCACATCAGATCGAGGTCTTATAAATGAAAATTCTAGACTTGCCAATATGTCAAGCAATATAGCTAATTTATTAATTTTTTCGATTAAAGGTGAGCAGGTTTTACAGCGTGCTGGGTGCGTTGAGGATCTCTCTACCTTAAGCGAAGCACAAATTCAGGTCTCAAAGGTTAGTTTTATTATTCTAGGCACTTCTTCAAATCCTCAGTTGTTTTTTACTCGCTTTTTCTTAATAATCAGCAGCTGTGGTTTTTGAACATCTGCTGGGGAGGTGGTCCAAGAGGGTCTTCTGATGTCTCTCTAGTCTCCCATCTTTCTCTTAAAACATCTTTTTCCATTAGCAGTTTGTTTAAGCAAGCATATATTTTGTTAGTCAGCATATAGTTTGCAAAAGCTTTCTTTCAATCATTTCACAACCTAAAGCTAACCTGTCTAAAAATACCTTCATAGGCTCTTTCCTCAGTTATTACTAAACTCAAAGCTAAGATGTTTCAAAACGCTTTTGTAGAGCTTTTTGGCTCATGTTTGTCCTACTTCCCTTTTTTAAGTGATTACAAATTTTTCTTAAACTAATTTATATTTTATACAAAGGATAGTTTAAACTACAAGGTAGCTTAAAGCTTAAAATTTTGTTGTTAGAACAAGCTGCTAGGTAAAAGCTTATCGTTACATAATTACTTTGTTAAACTCTGCCTTCTCCTCGGCGTGTTCCCCTTCCTATTTCTGCTGCTCGAATGGTCCCTTCGCTTCTCTCTGCCCAGACCCTCTCCGGTGTGGGCAGGAGGGAGGGGGCTTCCCTCGCTTCACCCGGGAGGGCCCAGCTCTGTGGTAGGTAAGCACACCATCAAAACACTGGGGCTTCCTCCGAGGCCTCGAAGCGGCCACATTTTCACGTGGCAGTGACTGGGACTCTTTGGTGTGGGACAAGGAACCAAACCCACCTGCATGCCCTCCGATTTCCCAGTTTCTGAGCTTCACAGAGAAATTCCCCCGAATGGATTCACCTCCCTGTGAGACCTCTGCGACTGCCCAACAGCTCCCACCTAGTCTCTGCTCCATCTCCAGTCCCGTCTGCTGGTATTTAGGGAATACGAGCAGTTTCTAACAGGAGTGACGAATGTGGGGTTCTCTACCTTCCCGGTGGGACAAAGTGTACCAAATTTCTAGCGCTGCCTTTTTAAAAGGCTCTTGTGCATTGCCCGAGGTGATGATTCTGCATCCCTTGGGGTGCCAGGGGTTTAAACCCGGCGATTCCTGAGCCCGAGCCTGGGTCTGCCCAAATCTCTGGGGTTACGAGGCCATCTAGTGATCTGTGAGCTCGTTACAATTAAAATGTACTCTCCAGGGTCGGAAAGCTGCTTGTAAACCAGGATCTCTTCTTTAAATACGCGTGATCCGCAGTCTCCCGAGAGAAGGTGACCCCTGCATGCCGGGCTGCAGAGTGACCAGGACCCAGACAGAAGCTGGTGTCCTCCTGACACACGAAGGAGCCTGGAATCCACAGACATGTTAAACTACAGGAATACTTGCATGCCTTTTACTCTTCTGAAGCAGGACCCCCATTCAGTCTTTTTAGAAACGATCCCTCGAATTGTATCAACAATCTGTGGTTTAAGCTCGAGGAAGGGCGTCATTTCTTGGAGCCCCTAGGGGAACGGTGAAGTTTCAAAGATCTTTCAGCAGCTTTTGCTGGTCCTCTCCGAGAAGAGAGATATTGAAAACATTCATAGCACCCAAAATTGTGAATAAAATATGCAATATTTTGTGAAATAAAAATTGTGAATAAAACATGGGGGTTTGTGCCCTCTAGGTACTCACCACCATGCTAAGAATAAAGAACTCGGTAATGTTATCAACATCAGCTCAGGATGCCATGTAAGATATGGTACCAGGATGCTGACAGGTGGTGATACAGCTCTACCTTGCACATTTTATTTTATGCCTGACATGGTTCTCAGGGAAGCTTTTGCACTTAGATCACCAGCCTCTTTGCTTGATATTTTAACAAGTATCTTCTCAGATCTAGCTTTTCTGAACTTCTGATATATGATTTTTTCTTAGTAGCTATGTGAACCTCAGTCACTGCTGTCTAATACAGACCAACATCACACTTAAAAAGACAGTTAAAAAGGATAGAATCTTAAAATCACAGAGTGACTTGTGTTGGAAGGGACCTTAAAGATAATCTAGTTCCAGCCTCTCGAGGAAGTTGCCTGGCTGCTCCCAGCTGAGAGCTTTCTTAGGTGAAAAAGGAGGGGTAAAGTCTTTGTTTCCCAGTAACAGTGGCAGGAATGTTAGAATCAGAATTTTTTTCTCATTTAACTACAAATAATTAGTTGTGATTGTACAGATTCTTAGTAGGAGGTAAGAAAGCCCCGATACCCGTGATAGCTGCCATACCTCTTGTGAGAGTCTAGGTGAACCCTTTAACCTTTCAGGACAAGCTTTGTGCTGATGATTTCAGCAAAGTATCAAAGCCTGTCGTCCGTGAGAAAAAGAGTTTAATTTCCAAAGGCTTTTTGCTTTAGATGTGGACATCTGAAGAATTTCTGCTACAATTTCTGGTATCTTCAAATTACCAGAAGTGTGCTAGAATTTGATCTGAGGACAAGGACGTCTTTGATCACCACAAAACTTCGATTTGGTGGATCATGGAGGAGTGCAACACTTGCAAAATGCAGTTGTAGAGTAGCACACAAGGGACTGCTGGGTGTCCAAGGGAATTAGGGGATTATTGGCTGATGCTACCACTGCCCAAGTGTCTGGGGAAATCTTGTTCGAGCCAATTAATAACAAAGAAATGAAGCTGCCCAAGGACAAAGAGGAGGGCAAGACAGAGAGGAGCTACCTTCACATTAGCAAGCCCACAACTCATGAATTTTCAGAGATACAAAGGAAGGCAGGCCAGTGGTTCAGAAGCCAGGTGATGTTCCCAGGTGTCTCTTCCTCTTCCAGGTAGAAGTGACAAGGTCAGCTGCCCCAGTTTGCTGTGGTGAAAAGACCTCAGTGAATTTCCTTGGTGGAAATTCACCAAGGGGAAAATGGATGGGTTTCGTATGCTGTTGATTTGTGAAAAGCATCCCAGCAATCAGTATGAACAGTCAGGATTTTTGCACATCAGGATCAATTTGTGGTTGCCCAGAGGCTGTGGAAGCAAGTCAATATCAGAATGGTAGCTGGTGTAAGTAGCTAAGGTAAAATTGAAGCTGAGAGCTCTGGCTAGGTAAGGGAGAGGCAATTCAGTTACTTGGTCATGCCTTCAGCTACAGTCCAATTTTAGAATAACAGTACATCTTTTGCAGTTGAAGAATAGGCATCTTAACAACAATCACATATTCGCTGTAATGTGTCTTGAAAGCATTACATGTCCTTTTCATAGGATTCCCTTTCCCCACTACCTTGCCAGCTGCATTAGATTAGGAGCAGGAAGGAGCAGCAGCTAGCAGAGGTGAAGGCATCAAGTGTCTTCTAGCAGTGGAGGCAAGAAGGGGAATTTGTAAGGTGCAGCTATTTTTCAGAGTGGGGTGATGAAGTGAGGAGAAACTGTATTAATCTGGCCCTTGTGCTGCTACAGATTCAGGTTTTCTGGCACAGACAATCTCTCATCTATGAAAGCCTTGTTGCTAAGAGTGAGAAGTTGAAAACTATTACCCTTGATCTCATTCTTGATTTTGTCTTTTGTCCATGTCTGTGATTGAAGTATTCTTAGCCTTAGCTGGCTGGATTTATTCATGTGCAGTCAGACACGAGAGTACGTTTTTAGCATGAATGAAGATTGGAAAGATGCATAGAATCAGGTGGCTTGTGCTTCTCTTTGGTGGATTTTTGGATACTTTTTTTTTTTTCTGTTAAAACTAGAGAGTTCATATTTTCAAGTCCTGTTTTTGAACCATTGAAGTCTTCTTGAGCTAGTGGGACTTGGGCTCCCATATATTTCATGCAGTAATGACCCTTGGGCTCCTGAGTTTCAGGTCCCAGCAATATTTTGTGATAATCAGCTGAGTAATTGTTGTGCCTGGCATCAGAACATTTATTTGTTTGGGGATTTTGTGATTGTTTTAGTCATTTTTATGTGTGCGTGTGTTCCTACAAAGCCCTGAAAGATGATGGAAGCTGAGCCAGGGAAAAAGGCTGCGTAGGCACCATGGAGTGTCTCTGTTCTGGTCCCCAGACAACAGGTAGCTAAGTGTTCCTGAATGACACAAAGACATTCTTCATGACCTCATCCCTCCTGACTTCCTGGGACAGTAAAACCCAAACCATCTGTCTTCCCCATGGCTTTGTCCCACATTCTCTCCATGTGTGATATGTCAAGGGTGATATGCAAATCTCATTATTTCAGTGTATATATTAGTCCTTAGCTTTTCCCAGACAAGCAAAAACAGTCTCAAAGACTAGAGCTCAGCCGACACTTAGTCTGGAGAATGAAATCATGACCACCAGCTGGGGCCCTAATGCAAGTGATGCTTCCCAGACTTGGCTCTCTGTGTTGTCAGGCAGGCTGGATTAATTTCTGTGTTTAAACCTCTAGTTTGTCTTTGACAATTCCTCTTCTGACTGATTTCTTCTCTTTTCTCCAGGTAGATTAACTGCTCCATCTTGTTCCAGAAACAAATCCTGAAACCATAGTACCTTTGGTCATCTGATTATAAGGATCATGCTGACAGCAGCTGGTGCCAAGGGGCAAGGAAAGCAAATCAAGGTTTCAAGGAGCTGCATCAGCTTGCAGCAGTTGGTTTCCTTTTGCAATTCAAATTTTCTAGTTTTCTACTGGTGCTCAGATCCTGGCACCAGCAGAACTTTTCCTTTCACCTTCCACATGGTAGTCTGCCAGAAATTTGGACCCAGGGACAGAGGAAACAATGGAGATCTGAGACAGACAAGATAGACAGGTGATGTTTACTCTCTTGAGCATCTAGAAGAAGCTCTCTGCCAAGGACCTGACACAATATGCCTCCTATTTTGGCTGATGTCTGCTGTTGTGTCTTGGGAGGGTGTCAGGGTCCTCAAGCAACTTAGCTGTGAGTCAGGGTCAGGACCTACTCTTCATTATTTTGCATTAATAGCCAGAGGACATGGAAATCATGTGATACCACTGCAAGGAAAGGAATGGACACAAAACTCCCCTGCAACACCTTCCTCACGTGATGAACAGGGTGAAACTGAAGTTGGGTGAAGAAGGGCAGAATAGCTACTGTTTATGCATGTGGAGGCATAGAAAGATCATAATGGGCTGAAAAAATTTAGTCTTTGAAACTCCTCTCAATTTTCACTGGTATCCTACAACATGTTAGGTCCACTGGCTTTCCCATCCATACTTCAGCAGCATATCCTCTAAAATGGGGTGTTTGGCATACCTTTCCTTTAGGATACAGGCAACTCTGTCACTCCTGTATCAATAGATTTCAAACACACATGTCAATAGATTAATATAGTCGGGATAGAGGATTTCAAAGGTCTTTTCTAATCTAAGTGATTCTGTAGGGTTGGTTTACAAAACAACTCAAGCTGACATTAGCCCATATGTAATGGCTTTGTGTATTTCAAGCTTCTGCAAGTTCATTGTGTTGGCAGTACACTGCAATTTCTTCCCTGCAGCAGAGGACACTAGGTGCAGTGACACCCAAATGGTTTGTTGGGAGCCAGCTTGCTTCCACCTGGACCTGTTACCTGCAAGGCTGGGCAGGTTGCACAGGGACCTGCTTGGACACCTCCTTGTCACAGCTCCCAGGGCTCCAAAGAGCAAAGGGAGCCTGAGAGCCCCCAGCCTTGTGCTGTGTGATCTCACATTTGGGGTTTATCAGCTGAGGTGTGAAGTTTCAATGCAAGCAGCTGCATCGAGTGGAAGCAGCAGTGTCACCGTGACCCCAAAAGCTCTGTCACTGTGACCCTCTTCAGCTGTGGCACCATGAACTGGTGCTGGGGGAGCCCAGGCAGGAGCACCTGCAGGTGAACTAATCCTCAATATGGATAAATGGCCCAAGACTAATGAAGCATACAGGCTGTTATCTTCCAGTCAAGAAGGTAAGCACTTCCCCCGCTGAAGTCAGTGCATCTCAGCTGCATGTGCTGAGTGCCAGGGCCTTGAAGGCACTAATGGGTCTTTCTGGCCCTGGCTCTCCACACACCCTGCCCACAGCCCAGAACACTATTTCAGCACCTCCAAGACTGTCAGTCTGTGCCCAAGCAATGTCACTGCAGGTCTCTAGCTCCCCACAGTCCTGCTCAGTCAGTTCATAGACTCCCAGCAAGCCATTCCCTTCCCTCTGGCATCCCAAGGTTGTGTTTCCAGGCTGGCTCCCTTCAATGTCACCCATGGGCTGACATCAGAGTTGGAGCTGCCGGATGCTCTGACAGTGCCTGGCACCAAAGGTTACCCATCATCTCTTGCCTTCATCCCTGCTGGGTAGTCTTGGGCACCAGGAAGCCAACGGCTCTGATTTATCTGGGAAAATACTTTCTACTGGGTTTTCCCAGTAACAGCTGAATTTTAGCCTGGAGGGAGGTACTGAGCTAGCTCATTGCCACATTAAACAGTGTCAAATGTGCCCACCCCCAAAGGATGTGCTTGGTGGGAAGTGCTGGAACTGCGCAGCATGGATCCTGGCTTAAATAAGTTGTGACTATTGCTCTGCAAGGAAGTCACTAAGAAATATGATCTTCAGGGAGAAGCAAACTGCTTTGTTCTGTGTCCTTCTGGTTGAGCTCCTCTGCATGAGCTCAGAGCTGATTTCCAGTAAAGCACGAGCACAGTCAGCCAGCACAGAAAAGCTGCAGTGAAGCTGCTGTCAGTAGTAACTCTCCTAAGCAGCAACTCTCCTAAGCATCTCCCGCAAGGAGATGTGCTGTTTTTGGGCATGAGGGATAAGTGGTAGAGAGGTATGGCCAAACCTGTGGATTAGATTTTTGCTAAAAGCACTAGTGGGAAAATTGAAATGGACCCTTGATTAGTATGAACTGCTTCTTGATTCAGAACATAACCCAGAGGACAGAGCAAAGGCAATCCTTGCTAAATGACATAACAGTTCACAATGCATATTCATTGCAGGAAATACTTTTCATCTGTCCTTGATTGCATGTTGTATATTGGCTATGGATTCGATGGCTTTGGATTTCTTTAGCATGCCCTTGGGCTTTCAAGTGTGCTAGGATGCATTGTAATGTAGATGCAGGGTGTCTGGCACTTCTTACTGAATGAGGCTTCAAAGGGAAGTAGGAATCAGACTCTAATTATATTTGTAATAAGGCCAAAGGCATTTTGACAAAGAGATTACCTGCTGTTCATGGACAGATTTTGTCCAGAGCGCTTGAAACTGCTAGAGTGGTTCATGCTTCCACTGGTATTGGCAGGCAGGGGATTACCTGATTTTTGGTAACTGAGATGAGGGCAGACAATATTTGTGACTAGGTTTTGAACACAATGGCATTACTTAGGTAGATGTGACAGCTTGAATGCATCATCTCTGGAAGCTTTTCCCAGAGATCATCTATCTGGAAGCACAGACCACTGACACAGCTGTGCCTGAACCCCTGCCACTGCAGACAATATTGCTGTGGGCATGTGGTCCAAGCAGCTTGCCAGGATCCCCTCATGCCTTTCTCCTTGCCACAGTATGTGCCTTTGAAGCTCTAGTGCTTTAAAAAAAAGCCCACAGCCTTTTCCTCATGCTTTATGTGGACAGCTGTATTCTGTTGCAAGACTCTTCTACCTTCTCAGGCTTTTCCCAAACAGACAGTTTGTAAGGGACTGGGGTCCTGGAGCATGGAAACCAAAGGAGTTTGAAGGCAGGGAAACAAACACCTTGAGCAGAGAGCAGAGATCAGTTTGAAATGAAAAACAGGTTTGCTGTCCTCACTGAATGCCTGCCTCATCTCATTTCTGGCATGATCTGCTCATCCTGTCAGCAGATGATGGTGTTGGGACGCGTGGGCTGGAGGGACTCGGCGTCGTCCGTGTAGAGGTGCATCTGCCTCCTGGTGCAACGCCATCGGGCTGGCCTGGGGAACAATAGAGCTTTATGCCTGGCAGATGTTCAGGCAGCGTTTGCTTTCTTTTCCTGAGGGCAGTTGAAACACAGGGAGTGCACTGACCTGATTTGCAAAAGGGTGTCTGGTGCTTCTGCAAGTCACGTTACAAGCAATTTGGCCAAGGTCACGAAGCGAGCGATGCTGTCAGAAATAGATGGAAATCTCTGTGGGGATGCTTTAGCTTGATGGTCCCAGCACAACACCTCCATTAGTGCATGACATGCTAGATTTATTCAAGCAGTACTTTGCTCATTAGTTTTTATCTCAGTAGCAAGTGGGAACAGTCTGTGTGTCTTCTACATCCAAAGAGCAGAAAGTGTACCTTACTCTGAGCAAAATACGGTCTTTGACCCACGGATCTTGGCACCGAACCAAACAAAAGCTAATGGTTGCACATGATCTTTCTCCTGACTTCACGGAGTGAGGGACTGGAGGAAATCCTCACCAAATGGGTTGCTTGGCAGGAGGAGGTGCATCTCACAAGCTCAGTATAGAATCACAGGCA